TGTGTGTGTGTGTGGACTAAATCAGGAAATGTGGACTAAATCAGGAAACATATTAAAACTATAGGGTGTGTAGGTGGACTAAACTGTGAAATACATTACAATTATACTATGTGTGTGTGTGTGTGTGGACTAAATCAGGAAACATATTGAAACTATAATAAACTGTGAAATACATTACAATTATACTATGTGTGTGTGTGTGTGGACTAAATCAGGAAACATATTAAAACTATAGGGTGTGTAGGTGGACTAAACTGTGAAATACATTACAATTATACTATGTGTGTGTGTGTGTGTGTGGACTAAATCAGGAAACATATTGAAACTATAGGATGTGTAGGTGGACTAAACTGTGAAACACACTGAAAGTGCATGACGTGTGCGCGCATGTGTCTGTGAATTAAACTATGAAATGCATTGAAACTTCAGGATATGAGTGTGGGCTATAGTAGGAAATACATTCAAACTGTCGTAACTGTGTGTGGAATAAGCTGTAAAACACTTTGAAACTGTAGATGTGTGTAAAGTAAACTATGAAACACATTGGATCTGTAGGACGTGTGTGTTTAGTAAGCTTTGAATAATACATTGTAACTGTAGGATAAATAAGCGGACTAAACTATAAAAACCTTGAAACTGTAGGACGTGTGTTTGTAGGGTAAACTATGAAACACATTGGATCTGTAGGACGTGTGTGTGGAATTAAGCATAAAACACATTAAAACTGTAGGTGTATGTATGTGTGTGTGTGGAATAAATTATTACATGCATTGCAACTACAGAATATGTGTGAACAAGACAATGAAATACATTGAAATGATATGAAGTGTGTAGGTACAGTAAGCTAAGATATGCATTGAAAGTGTAGGATGTGTATGTTGACTAAACTATGAAATACATTGAAAACACAACGTTTGTGTGTGAATTAGAAACTTCGTTTCATGAATTTTATACAGTTCCTTGTTGTGAATGTAAGCTACTTATGTAATAATTTATTTGCATGCTTTATTTATAATATATTTTCATTTTGGTACTGTTGCTGTTTAGTTCAACATCGAAGTTCAAATTAGTTTAATCTCTGAGAGTGTAACTAAGCAACTGTCTTTCTTTCAGTGAGAGACATTCAGAGAGACCCTACTAAAGTGCTCTGTACAGAAGAAGAGTTACCACCAGAAGTGGACCTTGAAGATATATGTCCAATGGCTGTCAACAGTGAATGCAAGGTCTCGTGTCATGAATCTAAGTTTTTAGTTGGACCCTCCTCTATCAAGTGTCTACCTTCTGGCCACTGGTCAGCCACACCATATTGTGGTCAGTACTTTGACAAAATATTATTTGAGAACGATAGAAAATAGAACGTGACATTTGATGCTTTCTCACAGAGACCTGTTTCACTAAATATTGTATTATATGGAATAAGTTAATTATCATGGACTTATCACATCATTTTACAAACACAACCAACGTAAATATAGCCTAGTCCTCGTCTGTCAGATTCTAGGACTAAGATAATAATGGGGGATTTAACTTAAAGTTCAACTATTCTAGTGTGAGGTCCTTAAAAGCTACAATCATGCCAAAATGATGAGTGGTTGATGGAGGTTATAGATAAACTAAAGTAATGCGTCGTTCATGGAGGTTATAGAATCCCTGTTCCACCAAACATACTCGCCCTTTCAGCCGTGGGAGCATTATAATGTGATGGTCAATCCCACTATTCGTTGGGAAAAGAGTAGCCCAAGAGTTGGCCTTCCCTCTAGTATTTCACTACTAAATTAGGGACGGCTGACGCATATAGCCCTCATGTAGCTTTGTACAAAATTCAAACCAAAACACATTTGAAATTTTTCTTCCACCCATTGTCCAGTAGAAAATAGCGCGAGACTTGTTAAACTTATCAAAGTACACATGCACTTCATAGAGTGTCATCGTGTACTGCATTTTTTTTACAGCTAGTTACCATTCTTATAGTTTTATACTGTTTGTCTTCCTTTTCTGGATATGTCCCGAGAGAAACTTGTGTATACATTACGTTTGTATCGCTTTTCCAGACCGAGAACGTTCTTGATTATGTTGCATACTGTTACCAGGGGAAATTAGATATGTTCGTGTTTGTGTTACAAGATGACATGCTTTGTTTACCACGCTTTCGGTATCGCTTAATGCAGGTCTCTTTCTGGATGGTCCTGGTGCCTCAAGTTAATCCACATTCGTTTGTTTTTCACTGTCATTAAATACAAGCAATATTCCCGTCTTGGAAATTCTAAATCCTCAAACTCAACACATCTTTATGACCTGAGTGTATAAATATTTTGCATTGGAAAGAACTGTACATATTCTTTTTAAAAGTAATCAATTTTCGGTGGCATCATATTACCTACAAAACGTCAAATAATGTTAAAATGTAGCTGTGATACATATATTCCACCGTAACTTCACACGTTCGCGTTGGCTGTGATTGTCACATTTGTTTAGATCGTGATAATTTAAACTGTCTCTGTGTTTAATACCGTGCCCTCTGTTATTGACATTGTTCGGATAGATTTCAAAACGCTTCTGAGTTTCAAGTTGTGTCATTTGTTATTGATATGATGTTGACAAAATTAAAATGCCTGTACATTACGTGTTCTTTGTTACTGACATGATCTTGATGGATTTTAAGTTGCTTCTGTGCATTATGTTTTCTTTGTTACTGTAATGATACTGACAATTTAAAAATGCCCCTGTGTATCATGTTGTGTTCTTCGCTACAGATATGATCTTGACAACTTCACGACGCTTTTGTATATCATGTTGCGTCCACTTTTACTCTGAGTATCATGTTGTGTTCATTGTTATTGACATGACCTTGGAAAATTTCCAAAATGTCTTTGCATTTAATATTGTGTTCTTTGTTTCTGAACCAGTCTATGTTTGATACATTCAACTGACCTCTTTATTAGATGAAAGATGCAGCGGGGCCGCATGGTACTACAAAGGAAAGTGCTATAAGTTGATGTGGGAAAGTTTGGGAATGACAGCCCAGTGGAAATGCCAAGTGTTAAATATGGAGCCATTAGTCATCAACGATGAGGATGTCTATAAATTCATAGTCGATCGTCTAACAAACATCAAGGAGGAGTGTCTGTGGACGACCCTAAATGACCAACAGGAGGAACTCGTCTTCAGAGATGCGACTGGAAATATAGCTAAGTTCATTAATTGGTACCCTGGTGAACCCGATACAGGCGAGTTCGGCTACGATAGAGATTGTGTATTATTACCTAAATGGAGGAATTACCAGTATAGTGACTATCGTTGTGACGACAACTGGTGCAAGTTTATGTGTCAATATAATGCTACCAACGTGTCGTAAAAATCGGTAACGTCTATAGTCCACATATTAAGCCTAAACATCTACTTAAATATCAAAGTCTATTCTAGGTTGTCAAAGTACTTATAGCGTTTAGAAAATTGTAACTAAAATTTTACGGGTGTTTTATTAATTTAGCATATTAAAACAAAATTCAAAGTGTAATATTTCTCAAGGTCAATAAAATAGTTTGAGAAAGGTCTTTGTAAGTTTGACTGTAACATACACCTTGGTGTGAATATAATGATAGTATCATTCAGTCATTCCACGAATAAAAGAAAAAGAGGATAAAATAGTTTGATGATGATCTATCTCATGTCAAAATGTCTTTAAATGATTTCTGAGAGGAGAGCATTTAGTTTGTGGAGATTTCAATATAACACTACTCTTAGAAACCCGGTTTCTAGCGTTGTAAGTCCACAGACTGTGCCACTGGGGGGCCTTAGGAAATGTAATTCAAATCTTAACATTCATTGTGGCGTTCTAAAGCGGATAGTATCATGATGTTTTCAAGTTGTAGGGGGAACGATGAGGTCATTTATGTGGAGCCCCGCAGGAGCAGATGTTTTGCTATGTGGTTCATTTGCGAACCACCAGAGGATGTTGTTGATCATGAATGGCAATCTGTGTCATGTTAAACAAAATTACTACTGTTTCTTTCTCTATAGTTATTTTAATATGACATTAGCTTCTCCACTATCGTTAGAGTCGAATTCATAGTTGCACTTCAAAACCAGTAATACACAAAGCGTTTTTGAATACGTAAAATTATTATTTTACAGTTTGAATATTTGTATAGGGTACTTTTCGTTTTTTTTTATAGAACCTAATATAACAATAAATGACAAATTTCACTTTGAAGTAAGAAACACTACCCCCGGCAGGGTCAGGTGGTTAGGGCGCTCGACTCCTAATCTGAGGGTCGCGAGTTCGAATCCCCGTCCCACCAAACATGCTCGCACTTTCAGCCGTGGGGGCGTTGTAATGTGACAGTCAATCCCACTATTCGTTGTTAAAGAGTAGCCCAACAGTTGGCGGTAGGTGGTGAGGACTTGCTACTTTCCCTCTAGTCTTACACTGCTAAATTAGGGACGGATAGCGCAGATAGCCCTCGTGTATCTTTGCGCGAAATTCAAAAACAAACAAACAAGGAACACTATACAATTGATAAGTATGATTTTTTTGACATAAAGAACTCATGCCATGCATTTAAAATTGATATTTTGTGATTATACAGTGGAGCCTACTTAAGATTAGGATATCTGTCTACAAACTACACAATTCAAAACCTAGTCTTTTCACATATGGACTGATATTGTGAAAAGATATCTTAACATATTAAGATTTGAGTTAAGATTTAAATTCAACGGGTATTCCAGGATTACTGGACGTGCTGCTTCGTGCTGTATGCATGCTTAAAGTTTGTTTTACGCATGTTTGACTTTTGTTTACATCAAGTGCTGAATGGCCCACCGGGACTCTTGAAAAATCCTGGTGGATCCATTTGAAAAAGTAAGTAAAAATAGATTAATGCGGTGTCAACCAAATACATAAACAAGTATTTATCTGTTGCCATCACGTTAACATCTGTATAAACGCACGTGTTAATTTTGGACCTGGTGGTTAGCCCCATTCAGCCGTGGGAAGCTATAATGTGAGTGTCAATCCCATTATTTGTTAATAAAAGAGTAGCTCAAGAGTTGGTGGTGGGTCGTGTTGACTAGCTGCCTTCCGTCTTGTCTTTACATGGAAATAAAACTAATAGCTCATGTTAACAACAATTAAAATATCCAAAATTGTGATCATAATAAACTTTTATTTGCTTTTAAGAAATACAGACGCGAAAATACCACAGTTATATGGTGTACTAAAAATGCAAAAAAAAAACTTTCTCAGTTAGATAGTTATGAATGATTCAAATAGTTATCTTGATTTTTAAAACAAATAAAAAACAAACAAAATATTAATGAAAGACACACACATATATATGTGTGTAGTTTTGATAGTGAGTCTAAGTTAAGTTCCGGTGAAATAACCTATTGAAATTATACTAAATAAAATAAATAAAGATCAAAATATATTTAGAAAATATGAAATAACGCTTCGAATCAGCAACTGTTTTAATTTTTTTAAAAAGTCTATGTACAAAGAGGAGGTTTAGGAATCAGAAGTGCATTATCTTCGATATTAACATCGCTATTTTTCATCAATATATTTCTGGTGGAAATATGCTAATGATATTCTATGTTGTTTCAGAGGAGAAGAACCGATGTTATTATTTGAAAATACATTCGTAATTAAACCCAGTCTTTTTTTTTTAACGAAACACATTATGTGAGCAATTAAAATTACTTTTTTAATCAAAAGACATTATATGAATAATTAAACCTACTCTTGTTAACAAAAAATTAAGTAATTAACTCCATCTTGATAAAAAAACACGTTATATCAGTAAATAATCCAGTTTTTTAACAAAAGATACGAGTAATTAAACATACTCTTGTTAACAAAACATGTATGAGTAACGAAACAGAGGTTACCAAAAGGTCTCGGTAAAAACTAATTTCATTTCTTCGCCATGTTGTAGGCCTGAGGGGAAAAAACAAACAAACAAGCATCCTCTTAGTTCCATATGTAATGCAGATCAAACTCCAATGTATTTTTTTAACACGTCTATAAATTGAACAACATAAATAATATTCAACGTTAAACTGGTACATAATTAAAAAAAATTCTATTTAGGCCTATCTATCAAAAGAACATGTAGAGTCGTCAATAGTGTTACGTCTCCGTTTGTTAATTAACTTTCCGTAACTTCGTTCCGACGAAACTTTAGCGACACAAGTTCTTTACTTAATGAAACTGGTTTATTCTTTCCGAATACAACTTTACCGATACACTCAACTTCAACAATCGCGCTAAACAAACGCTATAACAACGAATGTGCTCAATAATACTTCTGACTGCAGACCAATTACTCACTGTCTACACACACATTACATTTCATTCCCGCGTCACGTTTTCCCCCTCTTATATATACCAGCCTACCCTATCTAGTAAATACTAGAGCATTCGCCAAAGTACATGATAGTTCTAGAAACGTAGCGTCACTGTAGTCATGTGACTCGCTGACGCAACAATAGAATGTTTTTAATTGTGTACCAGTTTAACGTTGAATATTATTTATGTTTTTAACTTTATACACAAGTGCCAAAATACTGTAATTACGTCTATAAATGTTACTATTTACACACAAAAAAAGGAGACAAATTCAGTGGTGCTAAAACCTAGTGGAAACGAATAATATAAAATAATGACTACTTTAGCATATGGTATAAAACTTCCAAGATACATCAGTAAAAAAAACAACAACAACTATGCCAAAAGAAAAGTTATCTCCTGGAGTGATAGTATGAGTGCAAGAAATGGGGTGGATGAAGAAAAAATTCGTGTTGGATTGGATTAAAGTTGTTTGGGCGAGAAGACAAGGAATATTGTCCAGAGAAAGAACAATGCTTGAACTAATTGCATTTAAAGGACACCTGACTTCAAGTGTTAGAAAAGAAATTGCAAAAAGAAACGCAGATTTGGTTGTCATTCCCGGATGTATGACCTCACAGTTAAAGTTTTGGATGTTGTTAACAAACCGTTTTGAGAACAATTTAAGGAAGAAGTGTAGATATTGGCTTCTATCTGGCGACCACACTCTTACTTTTACAGGTAAGATAAGAAAACCCTCGGTTAGTTACCTGTGTGATTGGGTGCTTCATACTTTTGATATGACTTTTACATAAAGTAATGTATATGACTTCAAGAAATGCTGTATTTACAATGCTACAAATGGCTCAGATAATGATATTTGTGGGAGCAGATGTCGCAGCACAGAATGGGAATCGATTCAAGTAAAGAAGTGAGAGGAGATTGTGCTGCTACTAACACAGAATAAAAACACTGCCTGATGCATCATGAAATTCAAAATATTTGAAGCGAAAAAATTTGTGATTTTTTTTATTTATTTGTATTTGAGTTGGAAATAAAATAATCTATCTGGTGTTTTGAAATAGTAAATAATGTTTATATTTCCAAACAAAAAAATTTCCTTCTTGCGGTCTTTGAAGTTAGAGGTCGCCTTATATTCGAGGTCGTCCTATAATAGAGAAAATATGATAATTGGTTGCCTGTCAGACAATACTAAATTGCTATGTTGCCTGTCACACAATGTTAAGTTGGTTTGAGGTCATTCATACAATATTAGTGACTAGCTGGAGTACCCGTCCCCTGGGCTGTAGTTATGTAAATTCATGATTAATGAAAGGTTATCTTAGGTTGGTAATAGATTGGCGCCTTACCGATGAAAGTGGGTTTTCTCGGGATACTCCCGTTTTCCCCCATAACAAATTCTTGGCATAGGATTTTTATATCCACGCCGCCCCCCAAGGAACTTAAGTCCTAAATCGGCTGTTTATTTTATTGAATTGAACAGTGTCTCTGGTTCGTACTCGGAAGCGCTCGACTCGCAATCTGTGGGTCGCGGGTTCGAATCCCCGTCACACCAAACATGTTCGCCCTTTCAGCCGTGGGGGCGTTATAATGTGACGGTCAATTCCACTATTCGTTGGTAAAAGATTAGCCCAAGAGTTGGCGGTGGGTGGTGATGATTTGCTGCCTTCCCTCTAGTCTTACACTGCTAAATTAGTGACAGCTAGCGCAGATAGCCCTCGTGTAGCTTTGCGCGAAATTAAAAAACAAACCAATTTAATAATATGTCACAGGTAACCAATAACTTTAATTATGTGTGACACGTAATGAATCTATATAAATATAACAGTAATGTATGTTGTCTGTTCTATGTCTATGTAACTACTTCGCAGGGTGTCGATGTATCTTCACCAAATTTGGTATGGAGGTTCGTTAGGTCCATGTGGGGGTACATAAAAATTTTCAATTTTACATTTTGCGGTTTCTATGGGCGTTTTCGCGTTTTTTTATCACTACTTCACCCT